GAAACTTGCGACGAAACGATTTGGAACTTTTCAAGAAGCGTTGTTGTATTTGATGACCAAGATTGAAATTTTCTGTTCAAAACATTCTGATTTTTACGGTGATTACAACCACGGCGTGAAGTACCGCTACCTGTTGGCTGTTCACGACCGCTAATTTGCTGTTTTAATTAATTTCAATTGTGTTAAATTATGGTTCGTTGGCATTAACAAAATGGCGCTATGTTCATACACAGACATTTAAAGTTTTGGAATACCATCACATGGTCAGTTCGCTGACATGTGTTGTCTGCTTATTTCGGACAGCATTCTACTAGATTCCATTAATGAAGTTTCTTTTTTCTGTTTTGTGTTCTTTGTGAGGTTGAGCTAATCCACGTTACTCTGCCCTCAACAGGTGACCACTTAAAGATACAGTGCACTGACCTTTAATGTTGAACTTGAATGAAAACGGATACAGGTTTGCGGGAGGGGAAAAATAATGTCAGTAGTACGTTACCAGTTCACTGTGTATTTGGCATGGTTCTGTTCTGAGTTTTCCGACACAAACTGCAAACTACATTTGTGCTAAAGAAAGAAAATAGTGCTTTCTTTCTGTCTTGCTTTGTGTGGTAGCTAATATAAATTCACGTTACGGGGTGGATCTGACCGTTCTGTGGCACTAAAAGGCTTGAACGGGTTAAGTCCCTCGGTCATGAATGCTGAATAGGGCTTTATTTGAAAGTGGAACATGCTCAGCCCACTTTACTAGATTCCTTGTGGCCATCCGTCACAAAGTTATCATCTCATTTCCCTATTGAGAAGTTCCCAACAAATTCTGTGTAAATTCCTTACCTTATCAGCCTTAGCCACCTGCCTCCCTCATCATAGGCTCCTAGATTTCACTGCCCTGACAGTAGGCCTACTAGATAACGTGGACAAATTACGAATGTTCTCGTCATGTGATTTACTAAATTACTCAATTCTTAGAACCAAATACTTTGTAGGGAATTTTGTTTTCAAACCTTTTGCAGTCTGTATTCTTCCCTCAAAGTAAAAGACCATGTTTCACACTTTTATAAACAAGTTTAAGTAGGTCTGCATATCTTGATGTTTAATGTTTTGTGAAATATACTGGGTGATAACAAACATTTCTTGAATTTATTTTTCTAATTACATTGCATGTTAATTATTTTAGCGAAAAATATACATTTAGTCGTAACAGACTGTAAGACGCGTGCCGTGAGATAGGGGATTTTTTTTTTGAGTTAACTGAAACAACAGTAGACGAAGGGACCAGGAAATACCGTACATCAGTGAGTTAGTTAGTTTGGTTAAGCCAAGAAATTGGAGCTTTAACTTTGTTAACACGAGTTCGCCGCCGTCTGATCTTGTCCTGAGACAGAGGTCCTTTGTAATATTTTGTAACATGCTAGGTTTATGATAAGTTAGTAGCTCTCCGCTCAGCCCTCAATCTGGAGGAACATCGCTTCTAAGCTGTAGGCCTGATATAATTTTTTTGAGCATGTCAGCTTCTCTGAAAGGACTCTGCTTCGTGGAGTTCGTTATAATTTCTTACTTGTGTTTTTGCAAAACGTGTGAGAGATTCTGTATATGTCTGTTGGTAAAGTATGATATTAGATAAACATGCTTTGTTGGACAGTGGAAGATTAATTCTTGAATAAAATCTTGTGACTGAAGTCTTTACCTGCCACTTGTAAAATTGATTTCGTTGCATGTATGTGGGAGAGCCACCATGATGCTGCAAAATTACTGGCTGCTTCTGCATTGCCATGACTTGGCATGTTCATTTGCATGTACAATGTCTCAAGAAATTACACTCCAGCTTTTCAAATTGAAGACAGTCCGGCCTCGTTTTGGGGAATATTCTCCGACCAACAGTTCTCAATCTTGATATAATAGGGCTTTTATAGGTTTAATTCCATGGTGCAGGCTCTCATACTGTATAGTGTCTTAGCTACTAAGATGTTTCCCGTATCTTGTACTACTGCCACTGGACCCTCTCAGGAGCGACATGAATCTACGTAGTTTACAGTATCAACCTATTTAAATTCCAATTTAGTACCCTTGGTGCTCGGAAAGAAGGGCTTTAGTTAAACGAAGTTTGTTTTGACGTAACCCCTTGTTACCGACTGTTAATACAGGGTGATTCAAAAGGTTAGGGCCAAACTGAAGGAGCGTATAGAGGGACTCAGAGAGAACAACTTTCGAATAGGAATCCATATCCTTCGAAGTAATCCCGAGTCAGTCGAGGCCATTGAAAGTACGGAAGTCTGATAACATACCGCTGAAATAATCGTACTTTGCTGTTCTCCTACGAGCTTAATTTTGTTGTTTATTAATGTACAAGGATTACATTAGCAATCGTACAAACAAGATTTACAACAGGTGTTCAAAGTGGCGTCCTCCACATTCAATTCAAAGCAGCAATACACCAGTCACTATCAACTCACAAACACATTGTAAACAGCCCAGGGGCCTCTGTAGAATCTGACGGGATACGTGTGATTCAAAATTAAGCTAGTAGGAGAATAGCAAATTACGATTATTTCAGCGGTATGTTATCAGGCTTCCCTACCTTCAATGGCCTCGACTGACTAAGGATAACTTCGGAGGACATGGATTCCTATTCGAAAGTTGTTCTCTGAGTCCCTCTATACGCTCCTTCAATTTGACCCTAACCTTTTGAATCAACCTGTATATTAATTATCCTTTAATCTTTGCTTAGCTCTTCCACGTGGTTTTCTTTCAGGTATTCCGATCAGCATTTTTGTGTTTTCTGGTCTGTCTCGTTCTTGCAAGATATCCAACTTATCTCATTCAAGATTTGATTACCCTGTTTAAATTTAACTGTGTAATTTCGGTTATCCGTCAAATACAAACATTTTTCCTCATCACTAACATAGACTTGCCTCATCTGTGAAATAATTAGTCAAAGAAAAACAGGATGCTAGCATATAATATGCTATTTTCACATGAATGACGAGACATAATAATCTCATTCAGATCAGCACCTCAAGCTATTTGTATTAAGATGTGTTCAATATGTTTGGTCTCGAACTTTTTGAATAATGGTTTCAGTCCTTACTATTAAATGTCTGCCGCTTTGAGATTAATCGTTCAAAACTGATATGTTTTGACAAATTTCTTTGCAGGGTTTCAAATTGTGTGCCTGTCCGGTTCTACCTGGAACGCTCTTCTGTCCTTTCCTAGGCTTGCAGATGATCGAATTTACTCTTCGATTATGAATATCCGCTGCTTTGTGCTGTACAATATCGAACGAAAACGTATGGTAAATAAATTACTTCAGCAATACATCATGTCAGCAAAGTTTCTTTAGAGTACAATCACTGGCTTTAGCTTGTATTTAGAAACTCCATTTAGACGATGTGAATCCTGTGTATCGGTGGTTGATACATATGGAATGATTTGTGTGCTTTATAAATGAGCAAGTACTTTTGCAATTTGTAACAAGGGATCCCTCGGGAACGTGGCCATGAACTTTGATACACACCAGCAAAGACCTTAAATATAGGAATGACAATGCAGTATTTTCCTGGATGACAGATCATCGCAAACTTTTATTCAGTGTTTTATGTCAGGGGTCCGATACCCACTGCAGGCGTAAAATGACTTTGGTTTTAATTTGCAGTTGCATTATACGCATTGATAATTTTTCCTTTTATGGAATGGTTCAAATTAATTACCATTCACTTTGTAATCATAAAAACAAGTATTCAACTGTCAAAAGCTTCCTTTCTAGTCGCTTTATAACAAGTGCGTATGTTTCCTCTCATTTCTTTTGGCGGCATCCCGAGTAGCCGCAATTAATTATGATACCGCCACCAGCTCTGTGCTCAGAATATTCGAGTCATCGTGTGCCAGTCACTAAGTACTTTGTTTCATGTTGATGCACATTAGTCGAACAGCTGTGATTCTTCAGCTTTTTCAGCCGCGTCTAAATGTACTTTTTTAACTTCTTTCAGATATCTTCCTTAGTTGGCCTGCTTCCGTGCTTATAGACAAAGAATTTTGTGTGCGTATGAAACTTGTACGTCTGAGTGAAGTAAATAAGTTACTGGTAATTTAAAACGAATATTTCACGAAATATTTCGACTCAAGGATGAAGTGAACAATTTAAGATAACGTTCTGAGGCCGCATGCCGATGTGTTATCAAAAGTAATTACCTGTTATCTGAAATATTTTGTTGATGATTTAAGTATTTGGTAGGAACCATTGCTGTGACCAACTGTTCAGCGGAACGAAGAAATTAAAATCAATAACTAGGACGAGTCAGTGCGAATAGCTGCAACTACAATTAAAACCTTTTACTGAAAGATTACTCAAGCAAAAGCTGTGTCAGTTGTCTCAGTAAATGACTGATATTATCAAATAAACTTGAGTGACATGTGAATGTCTTTGGAGAAGGCGTCCTAATTCAGTAGCATTTTTGGATTTCCTTTGCGTTTCAATAAGTTTTCCTCATTTATACCCCTGCGGCCCGCTAATCGAAAAGAATGTGAATGTGGCCACAGCCCTGGAAAAAGTTAAGGACATAAGAACCCACCGGCCAGTAAAACAATGAATTTTCTGAAATGTTGCTCCATGCTACTTCGTGGAAATTGATCGCCCTGATGATGGAGGCAGTAGCACCTCTGAAAGGCCGATAAATTTCTATGAGACAAGTATCTAATGTAGCTTGGATAGGGCGAACTAGAGGGCCATGAGGGGCTGGATATGTGGCAAGGATGAAGGCAAATGGAATACTAAGATAATATGTTGGGGAAACCTTTTGGAAAACGTCCGTTTGGAAGACTGCAAGGTGAGAGGTTGACATTGGGTTTGCCATTAGGGTGGAACTGGGTCACAATCATACCCAGTGACAGGTTTCGGTGTTGGCGGTGTTGAAACTTGAGATTATGCTACTGAGAGCCCAGTAATAATAGTTTGTAAACATTTGACAAAATTCTAAAAGAGACTTCCTTTTTCTTTCTTGTTGCAGGCGACATCTTGAGCGGCGTGTGTAACGTGGGCCTCTGGGACGTCGACGCACTGCGAGGGTTTGTCGTGGCGCCGTTGTTCGTATACCTGGTGCTGGGCACCGTGTTTCTCCTGGCTGGGTTCGTGTCCCTTTTCCGCATTCGCACGGTCATGAAGCACGACGGCACCAAGACGGATAAACTCGAGAAACTGATGATACGCATCGGCGTGTTCTCTGTCCTGTACACGGTGCCCGCCCTCATCGTCCTCGCTTGTCTCTTCTATGAGCAGGCCTACTTCGGCCACTGGATGCTAACCTGGAACATGGAAATCTGCTCACGACCCGGTCACCACAGCATCTACTCTATACCTTGTCCTGTCGGAGAACGAAGCAGAGACTTTGGTAGGAAACCAGATTTTGAGGTCTTCATGATAAAGTACCTCATGGCACTTATTGTTGGTATCACTTCTAGTTTCTGGATATGGTCCGGTAAGACTTTTACAAGCTGGAAAGAGTTTTTCCATAAGATCCGTGGGAGGCGAGTCGAAGCATATGTGTAGTTATGAAAGGAACGTACAACGCACTGGTGGCTGACCGTCTTCGTTCTGTTCGTTGTTAAATATACGAGATTCCTTACGCAAGGAAGTAGAAGAATATTTCCACTGTAAATTCGTTATTGTTGAAATAATTATTCACTGTGGAGTGCTGATAATAAGAATATCACAGTGCTTTATTTTATTCCAAGTGGAAAACATTAATGCTTTTCTGACCATCACAGACATTTAAATAAACGTCGAGACGTAATCCTGAAAGAAAAACTATCTTCACAGCAGTAATGAGGGTAATTAACTCGGATATAATCGTAACTAAAAACATTTATCTGTGGTGTAGTTCGCTCAGTGCGTCGGCACTGAATACTGAGACAGAAGCAGTCGTCGCTATAATTGTGAGAATAAATAACGATACGCCTAATGGGGAATGTATATTAACTTGTATCATCTGAAATACTAGTGATCTATTCGTCTGTTAGGTAATCGTATTACACACGTTTATAATCTTATGTTTACTAAGTATAACATATGTGTTATAATGTGAAGTAATTAGGTTGAGAAGGGAAGCATTTGATGCAATGCAAAGTTCGATTTTTATCTTGCATTCATGTCAATACTGCCAAATTTCTTTTTCGATGTCATTATATATGTATATATATATTTTTTTCTTTTCAAATCTCTTGTAAATAGCTTAAAAATGTAACCCACTGTTCCTTCGCCAGTTCGTGCCACATATAAATTCGTAATTTTTACTTGTGCTTTAAAGTTTTCGGAAGGTTTTAGTTTTCGAAGTATTTCCCCATTTTAGAAGTTTTTTACATATTTGTCTAATTAGCTGTAAACAGGGCTTAAAATGTAATCATTGCTCAATACATTAATCGATGGTTTTGAAACCTCATTAGAACTTAATTTTCCTTTCTGTGATATATCGACATTACTTAATTTTGACATGTCGTATGTCATGTTCAGTATTTTTGGTGCCATTTGAGTCTATTTAATTGGCATACCAAACAGATTAAAATATGCAGACGTTCACCCCAGCTTTCCCGTCGGACCATATGTAAACAGGTTGTTAGTCATTCGCCTCTTTTTTTTTTCCAGAAAGCAATAAACCATTTTCATTCATTGTAAGAATGGATAAAGTATTGTACGGTACGTCCAAGTGTGATGCCAAGGCCGTTGGCCTCTGTTGCTGCAGCTCCCTATGGTTTACAAGCCACGCTTAACATGAAAACAAGTTTAAATTTTACACGCCTCTATCAACAAGCAGTAAATCATTCGTTGTCACTTAATGTAAAAATAGATTCAGTTGCAGGTTACAGCAAAACAGAGCCATGTGTGAAGCCTGTTGATTGACATCGAATACCGCCTTTGCCTGCATAATTTTATAGGCCAAATTTCATATTAAAATTCGATTGAAGGTTTCGAACAAATCATTCGTTGTCACTTTGTGCACGAATAGACGTCAAGAGTTCACAAACATGTAGAACAGTGCCTGTAGTGTTGGGTAATGTTTTGTTCAGAGGTTGTTGTACTTTGCCATCTCATTCTTGCCTTTCCAATGTTGTAATATAAACTATAGGATCGACCTTGCCTGAGGCATTGAACTCACCACCCAGCCAAAGAACTCGTCAGCGATCTGTTGCCTGTCCCTCCATGAGAAGGTATGTGGTGGGTAAATAATAGAACACAGTCATTTCAAAGTTATGTCGTCGGAGGTTTGACACATACATCGGAGTGTGAGTAAGTTACCTTATCGGGAAACGAGAAAAAAGTTTCAACAGCTTCCACGAAAATTGCCAGTAGAAGTCGCAATGCCAGACAGGCAACGCTAGACAAGGGTACAGCCGTCTCCTTCATCATCAGAAACTGACGACGAGCGAAAGCCGGGACACAGCTCGCCGCCAGACATGGAGGAACTACGCGTATAAATACAGCAAGCTCTGGAAGTCGCCATTCGGGCTTTGAAGGAAGATTTGCTGTCGCTGCAAAGGTCCCCTCACCGGGACCTTCTGTGTTCTTCAGAATACACGATCAGCACGAGGTCATGGCATGAGCCGAATATCTCGGGAGACGTTCGCACCGGACCCGAGTTGGCGCCAGAAGCAGAACCGAAGCTCTGCAAATTGGCTAACAAACTAAGGCGCCTCGCGGCGTTAATGATGGCCGTCGGGACTGACACGACATCCAGACCGTCTGCGATTAGGGGATAGTCGGCGGCAGTGTATTACTTCCAAAAAGGCGCTGACGAATTTCTCGACGTACCACGAATTTCGCACCGTTATCAGCCTCGGCCCAGAGCGACGCAGCAGTTATCCCAGATCCAGGAACATCTTCAACAGGCCCGGCGCAAGGGCAAACAGCATCGGAGATAACGCTTTGAGCCAGCCCCCGAACCTTGGACGTGTGACCGACCTTTCTTCCCATCGAGGCCCCGCTTTGATGTTCTTGCGGCAGCGTCCTGTTGGGATAGGCATAATCAGAAACGGTGTTAGAGGTCAGTGACCCAAGCATCACACTTAGATCTTCCTTTTTTTTTGTCTGTGACACGTGCGTACATCCTTGCATTGAATAGCAATGAATGATTTACACTTGCTGATAGGGATATGGGGATTTCAATCTAATTGCATATTAAATGTGATCTGTTAAGCCAAACACAAACAGTATTAAAGTTCAGTTACTAAAGGCATCGCAATTGGATCCATCTTGCGATTTTATGTAACATATTCACTCTTCCATGACAACGAATGATTTGTTGCTTTGTGACAACTTTTGGAAGGTATGAAAGTGATTTATTAAAATCTCTGTCTTCTGGTTGCTGCCTCCGTCGTGAACTCATCACTCTCATGATGGAAGCAGCAAGGACCTCTGTCTTTGTACACCGCCTTGAGAACCTCAAATGCCCCGGATGATTTACTGTTTGTTTGAAGTGGTGGTGGGAGGGGTACCTGGGTGTGAGGCGTGGGGATTTAATCTAATTTACATTTTGAGTTTTAAGTCGTGCACCGGCGCCATTTTTAAGTATATATTATGTAACGCCAAAAGATATGGAGAGGTCACCGTTACTAGTTACTAAATATTTCAAATGAGGGAGATGTGATCAGCTTGAGGAAACGAACTTTACGTCTACTGAAAAGAGCGGAGGGAAAGATAAACCTCAGATTATACGACAGCGTTACCTAGATTCGAACCTGTTTTCTTTCGAGTACAAATGTAGGGTATGAATGCTTGCTAAGCTGTTCGGTGTTCCACTTTCATGGCAACTGAGAAAAACGATGTTACATTACAAGGTGTCGATGATAAAAAAGATACACCACTATAATTACCAAAGTCTGAAGATTTCTTAAGATGGCGCGTATAATATGTAAAACACTACTTTTGAACTTCATCCATCGTCTAAATTAATAATAAAAACTGCAGCCTCAGATCTCGATGCCAAACCCAGGTTTGAGGCCAGCTCAACCACCAAGCCAGTTTTCGAAACCCTGTTTTATAATTAAGACGATGGCCGAATTCCAAATGAACAATTTTTACGCACTCTATTTATGTTTCCTGCATTTCGCCTCCAAACGACTTATTATGGACCTCTGAAACACATTTCAGGTAGACGTATCATTTGAAGCAACGCCTATTGAAGCAGTAGATTACAACTTAAGCCCTGTATGTATTGACAATATATCATATCAACTTACGTTTATAAAGTTATCGATTATACATGCATGATAGGCCTAATATTTTGTATTGAATAACACACGACGATCATTTATATGAGCGTTTATATCAGCATAAAGATTGTGGCATAATAGATAATTCTAGATTTCTATGTTCGTATCCATGCGATTGCCTTCTTAAAATCAAATGTTCGCCCAGTCGAAGAAGACATAAAGTCTATTGCCTAGTGGTGCTGTTAAATATTCGAAACGAGGCAGAAGTGGGTTTTTTTATTCTGACATCAAACATCCAGCATAGTTTCCCTGTCAGCTTTTGAAGTCCTGAGCACATATGTGCGATTTGTCATGAACGCAGACTGTTGTCATATTAAGGACAGAAGGGTCCTGAAACTTCGTATGTTTGTAACTGAGGCGTTAAACATTTAGTGCATAGAGCGATGATTTCCCATTTTTTCGACCTTCGAATCATGTCGAAGGGACAGAGGATTTCGACAAAAAAGAAGCTTCTATTACCGTGCTGCATCTTTGAGCACATGATGTTTAAAAATCAGATGTGATGTGTGTATTCTGGAAACACTGAATCAGACTTTTAAAATTATTTACATGAGCTTCTGTCTGATTATATTTGCATTTTTCTTACAAACTTCGTTTTCCTGTTTCGACGGTATTTATGACGTTCATCGACAGTGATTCTCATTATTTAGTCAGAAGAGTAAAGTGATGTAAGACTGCGCATATTTGAGTTAAACGAAACCGATCTTACATTTCATCTTTGACTGGACTAATTTGACGCCATTGTTATCTGTCACATAAATTACCCCTTCCCTTTCAAGTTCATGCACATGTAATTAAATCATTAATATTTCTCCATTTAATGTCTTAATGTGACATTTTTTTCAAGATATGTTTGTGTTAAAAGTTGAGAAGGACCCCGCATGGGCCCTTTCTTAGGCTGCAGGTTTTGTAACTTGTATAAGAATTCCCACGCCCATAAAGGTGACTACATTCCTGAAACGTGAGTCGATCCTGAGGAGAATCCTGGTGAGTTCTACCTTCCATAGGCAGGTTCCTTTGGGTGGCAGGGTTTTGCTAATTATCCAGAGATTCTGTCGTAAGATTGTGATTTGGTAACAGCCGAGAACTTTCTTATGGGTTCCCCCCCCCCCCTACCTCGCAATTCGTGTAATATTCGGAATTTGTAACAAACACTCTTCCGTCTTCTCAGTAATATGCAGTGCCATTGATTCGTCAAGGATACGATGGGCTGCATTGTGGTATGGCGACAGCGTCTTACGCAGTAGCAAGTTGTTACTTCATGTTGTCGTCCCGAGGTCGGAACCATGGATCCGAATGTTTCCGACCTGCCACAACATGCTCCTCATTGTGGTCTCCAGAGAACCAGCATGATTGGAAAGTTAGACTCAAGCAAAATGTGTGTTGCTAATTAAGGACCTTACTTGTACTGCTTCTATTATCTTTTCTAACGCTGGTTCGTGTTTGATGTTTCTTACGTGTTTCAGTAATCCGTTTTCCTGTTAGAAAACAAACCAGTATTATAATTCTCTGTAGGATTTGAGGTTTTCACGGCGGCGAATCTGAAGATGGCTGTCTTATAATTCTCTCTTACACCAGACATGTCTCATCACAGATGGTAACTGAAAAATAACTATATTTAATAACTTCGAAAAAAAATTATCATAAATCCTAAACTTGTCAGCTACCGGCATTTCTTTTACATGAAATATTCTTCAGATTAAAATTCCTGAGTCCTCAGAGGACATCAGTAAGTGAACAAACACCCCACGATTTACACCCTACATTACATTCGCAAATCCCGAGTCATCAGTCCATAGTATTGCTCACATTTTGAACGAGATATTTCTCACTTTGACATTTATGGAAACATTTTTATGTGATTATTTCGAAAATTGACTTAAGTAGTAGAACTGACGCATGCGCTGTTTATACAATTAATCCGCTCTTTACATAGCAACCTTCACATCGCTTAGAAGGCGTGATATCAAACGTGACACTGAAACTATTCTTTCATCACAGACGATGAATTATAAGGATTTGTTCACATCTCCAGCAGCCATGAGACGGTACGTGGAATTTCATATAATTTTCACAACAGTTTAATTGGCCACGCGCCGACCAGTCACGCCAGAGGCGTTTCCTTCAATATCCTTTCCAATTTATTATTTATTAGTCCACGACTCACCATTTAACATTGTAGAATGAGCTGTTCACGTTATCGTTAAATGAGTCATATTTTTCCGATCACACTGCAAATTTGGTGATGTAGTTATCGCTGAAACTGTTCCAGAAGTGGAACAAAATCAAAGGCTGGTGAACCCAATTGAGGTTTTGGGTGGACAAACCAACCCATAAAAAGGTTTTACAAAAGTTCCTCTGCTTTTCGTTTCAACAATTTATTCTTTAAGCGTTATCGCTGTGACTTGCACATGACAGTTGATACAGAATGTTTTAATCGAATCATGCTTTCACAAGTAAACCCTTTGGAGCCGAAGCTCATCTAAATAATATTTAATAATTCAGTCCGTTCCTCATAGTAAACACAACACTTCTCGTTTACAAATGTCAAC